CCTCGTATTGGTTGAGGAGCATCGACCACTTCACCACCCGGGTTGTGCCGGGCGCCCTCAGAGCGGCACCTAGGGGTTGGTCCGACAGGATTCTGATCGGGTGCGCTTGGAAGTAGTGTGTCAACTTCTTGGCGGTGATGTAGGCAGCATATATTGTCTTCTCGAGCGGGGTGTATCAGAGCTCAGCATTCTGGAGGGTCTTGCTTACATAGTAGATGGGACGCTGAACGCCTTCCTCCTCGCGAACCAGCACGGAACTGATTGCACCTTGGGAAACCCCAAGATAAAGGATTAACGTCTCCCCCCTCTCCGGCTTGCTGAGTAAAGGCTCAGAGAGGAGGTACTTCTTCAAGTCTTCGAAGGCTCGCTGACACTCATCATTCCAGACGAAACCATTTTGTTTCTTTAGGACTTGGAAGAAGGGTAGGGACTTCTCGGCGGACTTGGACATGAAACGTCCAAGGGCTGCTAGCCGGCCGGTGAGAATCTGGACTTCTTTCACCGACCTCGGGGGTTCCATGTCAAGTATTGCCCTTACCTTCTCAGGATTTGGCTCAATCCCCCTCCGTGTGACCATGTACCCCAGGAACTTGCCTCCTTGGACGGCAAAGGTACATTTCTTCGGGTTCAGGCGCAGACGGACTGCCTTCATGATCCCGAAGATCTCTGCCAAATCATCTGCATGATCGGATGCCCGGGTGCTCTTGACGATCATGTCGTCAACATACGCCTCCATGTTCCTTCCGAGCACCTTCCGGAATACCTTGGCCACCATCCTCGTGTACGTCGCCCCAGAGTTCTTCAGCCCGAAGGCCATGACAAGATAACAAAAAATCCCCTCTGGGGTGACGAATGAGGTCTTCTCCGCATCTTCTTCATGCATGAAAATCTGATGGTATCCTCGAAAAGCGTCCATGAAGCTAAGGAGCTCACATCCGGCCGTCCCATCGACTAGTTGGTCGATGTTAGGCAATGGGAATGGATCCATCGGGCATGCCTTGTTGAGATCGGTGTAATCAACACACATCCTCCAGGTTGGCGGCTTCGGGGCCAGGACCACGTTTGCCAGCCAGACCGGGTACAAGACCTCCCGGATATGCTTGATACTCAGGAGCATATTGACCTCCTTCTTCACGAATTCCCTCCTCTCGGTTGAGAGGTGTCTTCTCTTCTGCTGGATGGGCTTCGCCATTGGATTGACCGCCAGCCGATGGACAGCGATGCTTCGGTCAAGGCCAGGCATGTCCTCCGGTCCCCACGCGAAGACAACGCTAAAAAGGACAAGTACCTGGATAATCCTCTCCCTCAAGCCGACCGGGAGCCCGGTCCCGATCTTGACCTTCCGCTCCGGCCTCTCGGGGTCAATCTGGATCTCCTCCACGTCTGAGGTGGGTTCAGCGCGGAGCTGACCCTCCTCATACTTCATGGCTTTGTTGTTGATAGTGTGGATCCTCAAGTCTTTTTGACCGATTTGTTTGCAAGCTTTCAGATAGCAGCTCCTCGCCATTCACTGATCTCCCCTGGCGACTCCGACGCCATTCGGAGTGGGAAACTTCATGCATAGGTGCTCCTGGGATATCACACATTTGAGGTCTTCCAGGGCCGCCCTTCCCATGATGATCTTATGCGCACAAGTTAGGCGTACGACGATAAACTCGACGTCTAACTTGGATACGCAGGGCTCGGAGCCCACCATCACAGGGAGGACTATGCTGCCCTCCGACTCAATGGAGTCCCCGGTGAAGCCTGAGAGTGGGGTTCTCACCGGGATCAAGTCTTTTCGGTCCAGCCCGAGACCTTGGAAGGTGTCATAGTACATGATGTTAACGGAGCTCCCATTGTCCACCAGGACTCGGTGGACGATCGTGTTGTTGATTTCGACCTTGATGACCAAGGCATCCCTGTGCGGCGGAGGCATCGGTGGCAAATCTGCGTCGGTGAAGAAGATGGGGTCCCTCTTCACCCTCTTGTCGGCGGGAGCCCTGGTTATCTCCCCAACGTATAGGGCTCGGGCCCACTGCTTCCGCTCTCCAGAGGTGTCGCCTCCCTGGGGTCCCCCGAATATGAATGAACATCGATGGTACTTCCGGGGGCCGTTCCCTAGGTCGGCATCGTCTTCCTCGGAGAAGGCGCCGAGCTCTCGCTTCTTGGCAGGCGGTGTCCCCTTTGACGTGGTAGCTTGGTCGGACCGCTGCCACGTCAGGCTCCTCTTCTGCGGGATGCCTCCTTGTTTGCCAACGAATTGGCCCAGGTACCCTTTCTGGATGAGTTCTTCAATTTGCCGCCGGAGAATGACGCAATCATCTGTATCATGCCCTGCTCTCCGATGGAATCGACAATATTGGTCGTGGTTGCGCTTGGCAGTCACCACATCACACTCCTCCGGAAAGTCGACTAAACCTTGCTCCTCCGCGTAGTCGAGGATGGCCCCGACCGGCTGAGCAAGTGGGGTCAATTGCTTGACGGGCTGTAGCGGTCCGCTCGGGACGTCCGCCTTGCCCTTGCCTCTACTTTTGTTACCTCTGAACTTGTTGTTTTTGTTGCTAGCTTTGCCGTCAGCTTTCTCAGCACCCGAACCGGCTTCCTTCTTCTTTTCTTCTTTTGCACCTTCTTCCTCATCTCTTTTCCTCTGCAAGGCGTCCTCCGCCTCGGCTTTCCGGTCGGCACGGCCGAGCGCCTCCTCGTACGAGGTGGGGGGACTTCTGACGAAATCTTTGTAAAGCTCGCCCGATCGGATAGAGTTTGTGAGCATGGCCACCCCGGTCCTGTCATCAAGGCCCTGAACCTTGACTGACTCGGCCCTCCACCTCGCTAGGAAGGTCGACAATGATTCCTTCTTCCCCTGTTTTAGACCGAACAGGTGGCTGAAGTTTTTCTTGACGTCTCGGGAGCTCGCGAACCTCAAGAGAAAGCGCTGAGCCAACTCACGGAAATTCGTGATACTCCCGTCGGGTAGAGAATCATACCATTCACGAGCCGGGCCATCCAAAGTGGCGGAGAAACCGCGGCATCGGATGGCGTCCTCATACCCCATCATGACCATGTAGGAAAGGTACCGAGATACATGATGTTGGGGGTCAGAAGCGCCCTTGTATGCTTCAATGGCGCAGGGCTTGTAGCCCCTCGGCAACGGCGCATCCATGACCGCCCGGGTGAAGGGTTCGGGTATCCGGAGGTCGGCCGTGTAGGGCTCCCCCCCCCCCCCCCCCGACGACCCTCCTTCTCAACTCGTCAAGGCACTGTCGTAGATCTTCCACCTCGGCCGGCGGTGGGTTCCCCCGGACAGCTCCAGCGCGGGGCTGGGCATGTCCGGCGGCACCTCCAAGTCGTCCGTGTACGTGAGGTCGGGGCCCCACGTTTTGCCTCTCCGTGGAGCCAGTCCGACTGCTCGCCCGGTGAGAGTGGCGAGAGGGCTCGCCTCCTTCCATCTGCGTTGGGCGCCCCTCCCCGTCTGCCGATGGGGTCGGCTAGGCTGCTGGGAGACTTCTTCCCCCCCGCCGATGGGAGACTTCTTCCCCCCTGTTTTGGTTGGATCCAGAGCGTCGCTCATCACGCCGCCTGGAGGACACCTCCACATCCGCTGGCGTCTGTTGACGGGCAGGCTCATCCACATTTCCGCCAGACACCATCTGTTGGAAATTTTGAGCCAAGGTCCCCAGAACCCGAGTTGCCTCCTGCAGGGCTTCCACCCCGGCATTGAGTCGAGCCGGGTCCATGCGCGGAGCATGACGTCGGCCTCCCCCCCGCCGGCTGCGGACCGAGCGCTCACCTTGGGTGTGGTTGAGCGTCGCCCTTAGGTCACCGTGGCCTGATAATTGGTTCCGAAGGTCGCCTTGGCGCGCCGCCCTCCTGCCCTGTGCATGGTTGTCGAGGGCACGCTGGTGGCCAGATCGGGCGGACTCCTCGGTGTGGACTGAGACATGGTCACGTCGAGACGAGATTCCAGCCATCTTCCTGTGTGATTCCTACTCAAGTTATGTGAGAGACAATAGAGGTTCTCAATGAAAGCACCAATGTTGGTCCAAAATAGGACGCTCGTAGACTTTTAGGAAAGCTACGTACGACACTCAAGCAAGAATTAGGAAAGTACGAATATGGAAAGTTAGCCAGAAATAGCATATCTGTATTTGAAATTCGAATTGCCTTTTATAGGCGATTACAAATGGTAACTGCCGAACATAATAATGACTAAATTAATTACAACATTAATACAGAATTAAACACATAATTAAGTCGCGCATTAATTGTTGGCCGTTACTCTTCTTGGCTGGCAGGTCAGCCTGGCTGACAGGCTAGACGCTTGAGCTCCCTCCTGCTGGACTGGATGGTGGGCTTCCCGCTAGGCTGGAGGAAGGCTTCTGACCGGGCTGGAGGCAGGCTCCCGGGTAGGCTGGAAGGCAGGCTCCCGGGTAGGCTGGACCGCAGGCTTCCAGTTGGGCTGGACCGCAGGCTCCCAGCTGGGCTGGTGGTCGGCAGGCTCCTGGCTAGGCTGGAAGGTAGGCTCCCCACTGGGCTGGAAGGCAGGCTCCCGGGTAGGCTGGACCGCAGGCTCCCAGTTGGGCTGGACCGCAGGCTCCCAGCTGGGCTGGTGGTCGGCAGGCTCCTGGCTAGGCTGGAAGGCGGGCTCCCCACTGGGCTGGAAGGTAGGCTCCCCACTGGGCTGGTCGACAGGCTCTCTTGGGCTTCCGCTCCTTGATTGTCCTGGTTGGTTGGGCTGACTCGAGCTCTGGGTTGCTGGGCTTGGACCCGCTGGTCCAAGTTCGGGGCCTGGGCCGATTAGGCTCTGGGCCTAATCCCATAACCCCATCAATAATAGTTCGATAATTTCTTAAAATTACATAAGAAATATTGGTCTCATTTGAAAGGTCTCGAAAAATAAAAAATGTTGATATAAATTTTATAAAAATCGAATCAAAAATAAAAAAGTTATTACCATTTTTTAAAAGCAAAAATAAAAAATAAAGAATACCATATGCGTGCTGCCCGGGTCATACGGTATAATTTGCCCAAAACAATCTGGTCAATCATAAAACCTCTACGCGCCGCCTGTGTGCAGCGCAAGAAATCTTGTGTTCAAAGAAACCATACTATATATTCCGTTGTAGCAAAAACAACAACATACATTCCCAGATTAGCTCTCATTTTCTGTGGTCATCTTCGTTTAATCTCTTGTTTAGCTTGATGTGAAGATTTCTCTTGGGTGAATCATTTTGAGCATTTCAATTGCTTTTTGTAAAAAAGTCGCAAGGATGATGAGAATTGATTTTAGTGGGATCGAATCAACTGCCCCTTTTCGTGTGGAGAATTCTGAGTTGTTTGATGGAATTCCGAGAGCCCCATCTTTCCAGATCCCAAATGCTACTGATGTGAGTTGGACTTAATTGTATTGTGATTATTCCATTTGCATATGCTTAACTGCAATTGATTTAAGTTGGGAAGTTTCCAGCTTTCTGGTATGGTGTAACTTTTGTTATTAGTCTGATACACGTTTCTTCTGGTGTTTTTTTAGTTCGATGGGTTTCAGAAGGAAGCGATCCAAATGGTGAAGCCTGCTAAGGGAACCACCACCTTAGCCTTTATTTTTAAGGATGGTGTGATTATGGCAGCTGATTCTCGTGCTAGTATGGGAGGATACATATGTGAGTCCTTCTTGTTCTTAGTTTATTATCATTCTATCATCATACAAGAAAATGTTGAAAAGCTGATTATTCTTGGAAATCTGTTTGTCTATGTTTCACCTATACTATGTATAAAGATATTTCACAATAACTTATTATTGAGTTTGTAACACTGGGTGTAAACTAACTTATGGGTGAGAATGAGCTGCCTTGGTTTTGAGAAATCAACCTGAACATAAAGATATACATATCTATATAGTCTATATACTTTATATAAAAATCATTTGTTAGAGTAATATTTATATATAGTTTTGTAATATGATATAACACCATCAAAGTATTTGAATTGTTTTGAACAGTAGTATCAGTTCAATTATGTTATACTACGTAGTAACAATGAGATCTTAAAGTCACCAGTCCTCTTTGATCTTACTAATCTCCCTTTTCTGGTTTACTTTGAATATAATAATGGTTGAGAATGAACTGTATGGTTTTGAGCAACAGATCTTTACATATAAAATTATATATATGCTCTTTCTTTTTTATATTCCCTCAGTTTCATAACAGTGTTCCGATATTCCCACCTCATTTGGCACATGGTTTTAGAGTACTGGTAGTGCGTAATTTTTTTACAGGTTTTTATGAAGAGAGAAACTTTAGGGAAGAATACAGTGGAAATGAAATTGCAAAATACAAAATTTTAAGTGTTTGACCCTTTCCAAAATAGGAGATGGGAATACAGATTGCTGCAACTCAAAAAGGGAAAGTAGTAACACTAATAATCTAATATGAAAAGGAGGGAGTAGTTCAATATATACTATCCTCTGTTTTTTAGTTTCAACATAGAAAATTTTACACTATTCACATACTTTACTTTGACCACATTTTATTTATCAATGTATGAGAGATTTTTTAAAAAATATTGTTGAATTCATCTCATTACAAATTCTCATAATCTGGTTTTGTTTTTTGTTTGTTACTAATAAAGAATTAAATATTATGGCGGTCAAAGTTGTGTGCATTGTCAAGCGTGAAAATGGGAATGTTGCAACTAAAAAAGAACGTAGGAAGTATATAATATTATTGAAGTATTGTGTACTATTGTGAATAGTACTATCACGTTAAGTATATTAATTAACTTTGGGCTCCTATTAGTCACCAGTTATTTTTTCTTTAATAGTTTCCATTTTCTGGTTACCGTGAAAGACGAGCATTCCATTTCCACGTTCTTCTTTGCAGCATCACAGTCTGTGAAAAAGATCATTGAAATAAATCCATATATGCTGGGCACACTGGCAGGAGGTGCTGCTGATTGCCAGTTCTGGCACAGGAATCTTGGAGTCAAGGTATTTTATTATTATATGAATGAATGCTTTTAATCTGTATTCATTCCTTTCTAGAAATTTAAAATTGCATTGTGTTAACCTTGTAGCTGATAAACCATGTTGAACAATTGAGGTGGTTGACTCAAATGTTCAAATCAACCAGAAAATTGATCAATCTTGAATAGAGTGTATCTGTATGAATATGATGCTGTTCAAATTTCTAATCCATTAATTCCTTGCTATAGAAAAGGAGGCATTTTATCAAATGCATCATATTCTTTTCCCAACTTCAGTGGTTCATTTTTACTGTTTGACATGTTGTGGGTGTGAGGCTGCTAATAGTAGTCTAGTATGCCAGACAAACAGTCATTAGCTAATATTGAATTTCAAAAGAAAAAGAATTTTAAAGCATAACCAAAAACTTGATGATGAATTATAAAACATGACTTAAAATCTGATGTGTATTAAGAATAACAGTGTAAATAAAACATTAACAGAAGCAAAATAATAATTGTAGAAATAACCGGAAACTTTCATATTAGCAATATGTAGTCTCACGTAGTCAGGTACTAGAAAAATAGTAAAATATTTGATGTATGAGGAGCTTCTGAGAATAGTTGCCCGACACAATGCCGCAGACTCCTCGAACTTGAACACAGAAAATAAGAATCCAAGGAAGTATGTCTCTGGTTATAAATCATTGGGCTTGAACACGGAAAAGAAGATTCAAATGGAGGCTCGGCTCGTGTGATGCTCTAAGCAGAGAAGAAGCTAATAGAATTGGGGGATGGGGTGCTTGTAAAAATCAACTGAGAAGGCTTGCCCTCTGGGCATTAACTTGGTGGCACTAGCCAATGGCAATGGCATAGCATGGCTCTCCCCTGAAACTCCGCTACTGCCTTCCGCTATGGTGCCACCACCGCTGCTTGACAACATCTATTTTGGAACATGACTACACTTTAGTAGTTGAGCACTTGAGCTTAAAGTGCTGTTCATAGGCTCTTGGTCTCGGATTCTTTTGTATGGCACAAACAGTGTGATTTTAGCTCAACATGTTTTCATTTCAACTATTTATACTTGTATTAATTAGTTAATAAATTATATATTTAGGATTTGTTATTAACATTCTATTAGTTAATAAAATTTATATATTTAAAACTTATTGCCAAGTACCTTGTGTTTCGATCGCATCACTAGGACACCCCAAGGACTCAAGGAGGTCACATGATCGAAACTCATCCCAATAAAGGATGTTGGCATTTAAATAGAATCAACTATAGTGTTGAAATATAAACTAGAATAACATTGAAGATGAAGAGAAGGATTTTCTGTGTATTTCATTAGAGGGTTAAGGCCCTATATATATATTACAAAGATGGAATATTCCTATATAAGATGCTATACAATAATAATGTCTAGAGTATATTCCTAAAGCATATTCTAGAGCATATTCCTAAAGCATATTCCTAGATACAATAATACTTTCACACTCCCCCTCAAGTTGGAGCATAGATATTTATCATGCCCAACTTGTTACATAAGTAATCAACTCGAATCCCATTTAGAGCTTTAGTGAATAAATCTCCAAGTTGTTCTCCAGTCTTCACATACCTGGTAGAGATTAATCCTTTTTGTATCTTCTCTCGAATAAAATGGCAATCAACCTCAATATGCTTTGTTCTCTCGTGAAATACGGGGTTGTTTGCTATGTGTATAGCAGCTTGGTTATCGCACCACAACTGAGCAGGCATTGGTGTCTTCAATCCAATTTCATTCAATAAATGGTGTATCCATATTATCTCACATGCGGATTGTGCCATAGCTCGATATTCTGATTCAGCACTAGAACGAGAAACCACATTTTGTTTCTTACTCTTCCAGGATACAAGATTACCAACAACAAAGACACAATAGCCAGATGTAGATCTTCGATCATCTTTAGAACCGGCCCAATCAGCATCTGCAAAGCATTCTATTCTCATGTGATCATGGTTTTGATAAACAATACCTCATCCTGGTGCTCCCTTTAAGTAACATAATATGTGTTCTACAGCAGCCCAATTATCAATGGTCGGAGATGACATGTATTGACTCACTACACTCACAGAATAAGCAATATCTGGACGGGTGACTGTGAGATAATTAAGCTTTCCAACCAGTCTTCTATATCTTTCTGGGTCTTCAAACGGTGTGCCTTCTTGAGTGAGTTGCACGTTGGGAACCATGGGTGTTGTACTTGGTTTTGCCCCTAATTTCCCTGTCTCAGCTAGTAAGTCAAGTACATATTTACGTTGAGATAGAAATATGCCTTTCTTACTTCGTGTTACCTCAATTCCCAGAAAGTATTTCAAAGAGCCAAGATCTTCCGTCTGGAATTGACTATGCAGAAAATTCTTAAGGGCCAAAATACATGCATTATCACTCCCTGTAATCACAATATCATCAACATATACCACAAGCAATGTGACACCTGATTCTGTTTGTTTGTAAAATACAGAGTGGTCTGATTTGCCTTTTATCATTCCAAATTGTTCAATTGATTGACTGAATTTCCCAGACCATAAAGAGATTTGCGAAGTCGACAAACTTTACCATACTCCCCCTGAGCAACAAATCCCGGAGGTTGCTCAATATAGACTTCTTCCTTAAGGTCACCACGCAAAAATGCATTTTTAATGTCCAATTGATGTAAGTGCCAATCATGAATTGCAGCGAGTGAGATAAGTAACCTGACAGATGTTAATTTAGCAACAGGAGAAAAAGTATCAGAATAATCAACACCATAGGTTTGAGCATAACCCTTCGCAACTAATCGGGCTTTCAACCGAGCAACGGATCCGTCTGGGTTAACCTTAACAGCAAAGACCCACTTACATCCAATAGATTTCTTCCCTGTAGGTAAGTCAACCAAATCCCATGTACCATTAAGATCTAAAGCATTCATTTCCTCTACCATGGCTTGACGCCATTCAGGATGAGACAGAGCTTCTTTGACAGATTTGGGAACAGAAATAGAATCAATGGAAGCAATAAAAGAACATGAAGCAGGAGATAACTGATTGTACGACACAAATGAAGAAATAGGATGAGTACAAGACCGTGTACCTTTACGTACTGCTATTGGGAGATCAAGATCTGATGTGGAAACAAGATCTGAAGATGCAGATACTGGTTCAGGACATGAGATCGGAGTCGAACTAGTATCAAGAAAAGTAATCACAGGTATCGCCGGTGGAGGGTGATCAGGTGCTTTGTGTCGACGGGTGTATACCAAATGTACGGGAGGCCTAGGGTCATGAACAGTAACTTGTGGAATATTTGTCGAAAGTGTGGACTCGGGAATAGTCATCGTGTAAATGAGAATATCATCATTACTCTCACGAATATCTGCCTTAGATGATGAAAAAGGTGTATTTTCATGAAATGATACATCAATAGAAACAAGATACCGACCAGTACTCGGACAAAAACATCTATACCCCTTTTGGACTCGAGAATAACCCAAGAAAATACATTTTAATGATTTCGGATCTAACTTTGTTAGATGACGATTAACATCTCTAACAAAACAAGTGCAACCAAATATTTTAGGTGGGATAGGAAAAAGCTCTCTGTTTGGAAATAGACAATGATAAGGAGCTTTACCATTCAAAACAGAAGATGACATTCGATTTATCAAAAAACATGCAGTAGACACGGCATCTGCCCAAAACTGTTTAGGCACATTCATTTGGAATAGAAGAGCCCTTGCAGTTTCTAACATATGTCGGTTCTTTCGTTCCGCAACTCCATTTTGAGGAGGTGCATCAACGCATGAAGTTTGATGAATAATGCCATGTTGAAGCATAAATGACTTAAATGTAGCAGATAGATATTCTTGGGCATTGTCTCCTCTTAACACCCGAACAGGAACGTTAAACTGAGTTTTAATTTCAGCACAAAAGGAAGAAAAATGAGTGAACAACTCAGATCGACGTTTCATGAAATACAACCATGTCATACGAGAATAGTCGTCAACAAAGGTAACAAAATATTTAAAACCAGCTTTAGACACAACCGGGCAAGCACCCCAAACATCAGAGTGAACAAGGTCAAATGGAGCATTTGCTCGTTTATTAACTCGCGGGCCTAAGCTAGTACGATGGTGTTTCGCAAATTGACATGACTCACATTGTAAAGAGGTCGTCTTATTAAATTGGGGATTTATTTGCTTCATTAATGGGAGAGATGGATGTCCTAATCGGTAATGAGCATCTAACAAAGTCCCAACCCCAAGACAAGAGATACCTTTGGTGATGGATGTATCCAAAATATATAGACCAGCTGACTCATGTCCTTTACCAATAATCTGCATCGTTAACAGATCCTGAAACACACAATATCCCGGAAAAAATGTTACAAAACAGTTAAGAGTACGAGTGATTTTACTGATGGAAAGCAGATTAAATGCAAAATTAGGAAGACTCAAAACAGGCGATAATGGTAATGTAGAAGTTGGAACAACAGTACCAGATCCAAGAACGGGTGAGGTAGATCCATCAGCTAAAGTGACACTAGAAGTAGGTAAATATGAATGAAATGACGAGAATAGACTAGGATTACCGGTCATATGATCTGTGGCACCTGAGTCAATGACCCATTTCGAGGATGAGGAAACAAGACACGTGTTTGAAATACCTGAATTAGCGGTTACCGAGATAGGGACAGAGGAATGCTTTAGAGTTTCTTGGTAGCAAATAAATTTGGCATACTCGTCTGAAGAAATAGCAATTGATCCATCGGATGAACTGGTAGCGGAAGCAACATGAGCAAGCTGATTTCCTTGATTTTTGAACAGCAATTTTCTACATTCTTTGATCAAGTGTCCGGGCTTCTTACAGTAATTGCATATTACTCCTCTGTCAAATCCACTCGTACAAGACATTTTTTTTTTGGAAGGGGGTTAAAAATAAAATAACATAAAACACTTGAAATATTCAGTGAAAACTGGACTCACCGCAGCTTTCCCGTTTGTGGATTTAAAAGCTGTTGAATAAAATACTCTGTGTCTAATTTGCTTGGCCTGACTGCTACGGAGTCCAGCAGATATGCAAAGAATCAGTGAAGAAGCCTGTGATCGTTCACAAATATCCCATGCGATAACCCAGCAGATGCGAACAACCAGAGGAAGCAGCAGAAGTCCGATGCCAGACCCCAGCGACCAACCAGGCAACCACAGATACCCGTCCCTTGAGAGAGAAGTAAAGTATACCTGGTAGAGGATTTTCAAGCGAGTCTCAGGCGAAGAGTTCCGATCAAATCTCCGGCCAGAAACACGGCGTCACGCGCCGGAGCGTGCGTTGGCTGCGGAAGCTTCCGACGGCGCGTGTAACTCACGCGCGATGATTTGGGCGTGCGGACTTCGGATGTTCGGTCGACAGGGGCAGGCGAACCAGAGGATGAGGGGGGTGAGGTATGTTTTGGGCAAAGGTTCTGAGGGTTATATTTCGGCTGATGGTGTGTGAAAGGATGTTCTGAAAGAAGCAAAAATAAAATAAATGGAAACTAAACTGAAATGGAGAAGGGTTGATGGGTACCCAATTGTTTCTTATATCTGAGGTTTTGGTTCTGGGAAAAGGTTCTGGGATGAGCAGTAGGTTCTGAGAAAAGGTTCTGGGAAGAATAAGAGGTTCTGGGAAGATCGGAGGTTCTTGAAGATTGGTAAACAGAAAAACTAAACTGAAATAGAAGGCTCTGATACCATGTTGAAATATAAACTAGAATAACATTGAAGATGAAGAGAAGGATTTTCTGTGTATTTCATTAGAGGGTTAAGGCCCTATATATATATTACAAAGATGGAATATTCCTATATAAGATGCTATACAATAATAATGTCTAGAGTATATTCCTAAAGCATATTCTAGAGCATATTCCTAAAGCATATTCCTAGATACAATAATACTTTCACATATAGGATGTTGACATACTATAATAGATTAGAAAACATAGCGGAAAAAAGTTATATAAAAAATAAAAACAAAAATGAAATTTAGAAGTAAAAAATGGCAAAGAAGAATGGTTTAAACTCATGTATGGTAAACTGTGTACTGTAAACAAGAATATATATGACGGAGGTGCAACTTTTCCTGCAAATAAAAACTATAGATTCTGGAAGTTTGGTTTTATATGTTACGAATTGCAACTTAATGTTTTCTCGCTTGGTCTAGTGTCGTCTCCATGAGCTGGCAAATAAAAGAAGAATTTCAATTGCTGGAGCTTCAAAGTTGTTGGCTAACATTTTATATTCTTACCGTGGAATGGGCTTATCAGTTGGAACTATGATCGCTGGTTGGGATGAAAAGGTATAAAAAATGATTATAAATACTGAAATACAAATATTTATGTGCTGAATACCATGCTGTAGCTCAACTATTCTAAAATGTATTGAATCATGGATTAATGGCTTAGGGTCCAGGACTATATTATGTGGATAGTGAAGGTGGACGGCTAAAGGGAAACAGGTTCTCTGTGGGATCTGGTTCTCCATATGCTTATGGAGTTCTGGATAATGGGTATGTTTTATTGCCCCTTGTGGAATTATTACCTTTCTCATTCAGCTGCATCGTATTTATGTAAGTAATGTACACCTCAAAAGATATTCCTGGAACTCTACCGCTAATACAGTAGTAGGGTAAATTATACTAGAAATTTCCCTATAGTAATTTTCACTCCTTATGTTATCCTTTTATCTTATCATTTTTATCTTATTTTATCTTTATTTTATTTTTTTACTTATCTTTTTATCCTTTTTTATCTTTTTAGCTTTTTTAGCTTAGATGATACATGTCTACTCATGTTAGCCGACCCCAAACTCTTTTGGGAGACTTAAGGCTTGAATGTTGTTGTTGTTGTATTTTTCTTCATTCATTTTCTTCTGTTTTTGGACTGAGCTAAAAAATAGCTTATACAGGCATGTAGCTACTGCACACATCAATTGTTGAAAAGTTTCCTGATGAAATAAAAGGTTCCGTTGCAAAACATTTTAGGCACATATTAGGATCAATTTATAAATTGGTACATAAACTCATTTATAACCGATCAGTTTTTTGGTAAGCAATGGCTCGATAATAATTTTGATTGCTGTTGGATTTTGCATACATGAATGATGAATGGAAGGAGCGTAAAAGGCATGCAATAGAGAATCAATTCGAGTGTGGGTTATCCATTTTCTGCAAACTATACTGTACATCCAGCTTTGGTACACCGTACACCCAGTGACATTTTTATTATTTTCATGATGGTTGCTCATTTTCCTTTTACGGATGCTCATGTCTTTTTCAACTTGGCACAAGTTCACGTTTTTCATTCTGGTCACTTTTCCTTTAAGATGCTCATTTCCCTCTATAGGATCCTCATTTTACCTTGATGAATGTTTCATGGTGTCCTACAGGCTTCACCTTCATGTTGTAATACCTTTTTTGTTTTTAGCTATGGCGTGTGAGCTTGTGTAGTTAAAACTTGCATTAACTTGTGGTTTCATATAAGAACCCTCAGGGAAGTTAGAATTAACCTGGAAACATTGATTTCTTCTCATGAGGCAAAGACCTCTCTGTACACCAATTGTCTTTGCTTCAGGGTACTTATCCCCACCCCGTCTGTTACATTTGAAAGTAGACATTGATATAATCCCTCATGTTCTTAAGTGCTACAATTTTTATGATAATAAAAACTTGTATAGGTATCGATATGATTTGTCTGTTGAAGAAGCAGCAGAGTTGGGAAAACGGGCTATTTATCATGCAACATTCCGAGATGGGGCCAGTGGAGGTGTTGCCAGTGGTATGATATCCTCCCTTATCTCCTTCGCTCCCCCCAATCCAAATTCATAAACCCACAAATAACAGAAGGATGAAAGGGTAGAAGTTAGTAACCTTGGAATTGGTGCATGCGGCAGTGCATGTATTTCTGAATACTGGTTTTGTGTTGCTTTCAGTTTATCATGTTGGCCCAAATGGATGGAAGAAACTATTGGGTGATGATGTTGGAGAGCTTTACTACCATTACAATCCCGTTGAGCCTGCAGCAGTGGAACATGAAATGACTGATGTGCCTGTTGCCTGAGACCCCTCCCCCCAAACTGACAGTGTATCTTGATTTGACCTGCTTATTTCCTTTTCCTGTTTCTATGCACAATCTTACATGCTTTGATTTGATCAGATCTGAAGTTGTCATCCTTCTTGACTATGTATCAACACTGTAATATTGTTTATCTGATTATGTAAGAGCTCTAGCTCCAAATTTAGTCATTTTGAATATGATACTTGATCAGGTCATTGCATGCCTGTAGTTGTATCATACTGGAGTCGTTCATCAGCTTGTTAACAATTTCTCTTAGATATACCTGTATTCAACATTTAAACGCATGAAAACCACAGTTAAGTGTGGTTGGAGATGAACAACTGTATTTGCTGGCTGAGAAAAAAGCTATGGTCATACGGATATTATAAACACAGGTCTCTGGGAAAATCGTGCAAGCACCTAACAGACTAGTTTCATTTTATGAAATGTGAGTTCTTTTACCATTTTTACATTATTCTCTTTATGGGATAGGATTATAGGGCTTAACATTAAATCTGGATTGTGGTTAGATATTGTTTGTTTTTGCAGGTGATTTGGTCCATGGAGTGTTGTTTGCACTCCTCGACTTTGCTCTGAGAACATGGTGTTCTCTGGGCATCCGGTTTGTCCCATTGATCCTTCTGGATCAGGAAAGTGTGCATCACACTTTTCAATTTGTGTTTCTGGGTCCTGTGTGACCTAGGGAGTGTCTTTTGGATACCTCCAATTGTTGGCCTAAGATATCCTTGGATGTCTTGGGCAACCAACGATGATGAGTCTTTCCCATGTCGCATTTTTGCTCTACACCACATAGGACCAATAAGGTGGAGAATGTGAGAGGTATTGGCCCTATGGGCCTTGAACTTCTTCTCCAATTTAATTTCGGGACTTGTGCCTCTATCATTTGTTACCACCCAACCCATTTGCTTCCTTGCATGACCCATCCCTTTGTGTTCGACCCCTTTACCCTTCGTGACCTACTTACCTTGTTGGGCTTTCCTTGGCCCGCCTATTTAATCCATTGATCTGTCTTTGCCTGGGTAGAGAGTCGCATTCGTAAACCCTAGTTCTAGAGTATTCATTTTAGAGAGAGAGGGTCTGACTTCTCTCTAGTCATTACCCTTCTTCCACACCTCTCTTCATCTTCTTCGTGTGTGTAAGTGCTCCGAGAGTTCTAGGGAGAGGTTTGAGAGGGTAGTTGGGTTTGGGTCTGGGTTCTGGTCCTTTTGGTGGTGGTTCCCGGTCCGGTAGGTCCTTTTGTGGTGGTTGTGAGTTGTTACAGAACCTTCGGGTTCGTGTGGTTGGAGACCGGAGCTGGAAGATCTATTAGCCTTACATGTTCCAAAATAGATGTTGTCAAGCAGCGGTGGTGGCATCATAGCGGAAGGCAGTTGCGGAGTTTCAGGGGAGAGCCATGCTATGCCATTGGCATGGCAAATTTTTCTTGGTGGCTAATGGCGGGAAATGGTTTTTGGATAATTTCACCCTGCCCGTTATAGTAGAACTTTAAAACATGTGGTTAGTGCCACCAAGTTAATGACCAGAGGGCAAGCCTTCCAGTTGATTCTTACAAGCACCCCATCCCCCAATTCTATTAGCTTCTGGTTGTAAATCAACCAGAGACATACTTCCTTGGATTCTTATTTTCTATGTTCAAGTTCGAGGAGTCTGCGGCATTGTGTCGGGCAACTATTCTCAGAAGCTCCTCATACATCAAATATTTTACGTAGTACTATTTTTCTAGTACTTGACTACGTGAGACTACATATTGCTTATATGAAAGTTTCCGGTTATTCTTAATACACATCAGATTTTAAGTCATGTTTTATAATTCATCATCAAGTTTTTGGTTATGCTTTAAAATTCTTTATCTTTTGAAATTCAATATTGACTAATGACTGTTTGTCTGGCATACTAGACTACTATTAGCAGCCTCACACCTACAACATGTCAAACAGTAAAAATGAACCACTGAAGTTGGGAAAATCATATGATGCATTTGATAAAATGCCTCCTTTTCTATAGCAAGGAATTAATGGATTAGAAATTTGAACAACATCATATTCATACAGATACACTCTATTCAAGATTGATCAATTTTCTGGTTGATTTGAACATTTGAGTCAACCACCTCAATTGTTCAACATGGTTTATCAGCTACAAGGTTAACACAATGCGATTTTAAATTTCTAGAAAGGAATGAATACAGATTAAAAGCATCCATTCATATAATAATAAAATACCTTGACTCCAAGATTCCTGTGCCAGAACTGGCAATCGATCAGCAGCACCTCCTGCCATGGGCGGATCTATGTAGGGCCTAGGGTGGGCTCTACCCCAGCCCAACCCAATTTTTTTGTTAGTATAGAAAGAGATTTAATTTTCAGCCCACCCAAAAATTAAACTCAACTCACCCCAAGTCTACAAGGAAGTGTTCTAAGAAGCTCTAAAAGCAAAAGGCTGCCCAAACTTCGTTTAAAGCCCATAGTCATGGGAACAAATGATCCCGAGAACAAATGATCCCGATGCATAATAATAGAGCTTGATGTGATTGCACCAAGAAGTGATTTATATATAGGACACTCAGGAGGGTGAACCATCCTTGCAGTCGGTGTGAGATAAATTGAGGAGCAAAACTTTACATACGGAGTATTAAACAATCGTATGTAGTTGGTGTTTGGAGCCAGCTGCAAATTATGCAATCTCATCTCACCCACTCACCCACACCATTAATGAAAGCACTTTATATTACAAGTTTACAAAATTATTTTACAACATAAATTTTATGATTAATATTATATTATTATTATTATTATACTGTTATTATTATATGAATATTACTATTATTTGACCCAAGTCACCATGAGTAACTTTTATAAGCATTAAAATTTAAACATAATTATAATCATTAAAATAACTAAGTTACTCTTTATCAACTATCCTTATTTGGTCATATACTATTTCTATTATTATTATTATTATTATTATTGTTATTATTAAAATTATTATTATTATTATTATTAAAATTATGCTTTTTCCATCACCGAGTTCATTATCTAGTTCTAATTTTTGCAACAAGCATGGTAAGAACTACTATTTGTGATTTTTAGAACTGTAGAAGTATACTTTTGTTATAAAGCGACTAACAAGCACAAAGCAGAAGCGGGAATTGAAGGACTCAACTCAGTAAATCGACGAAGCCACGATGTCACAAACACAGGCACCCAGCCGCGCCGCCACCTGCTTTCCTGTCCCCTATGTCTGCAGTCGATCGTCGGTGTCCCTCTGGAGTCCGACACTCCAGCTTGTAGCTCATTGTGGCTCTGCCCCTCTAGTCTATTCGAGTCCGACTAGCTGCCTCTAGCCGAGTCTAGTTGTCCAGCCATGTAACGCCCCTCTCAGGGTTAAAGGAAACGCTACATAAACTTACTACTAAAAAAAACTGCAATATAACAGCCGTTTGTTTAAGAAATAACCCTGATAAAAACTCAAAATATAACTAAAATATAACTCCAAATAAAACTCAATAAAATCTAATTATCACCAGCAAATGTGATAACCACCTGGATCCAGGAATTTACTAAAACTTCAAATCCTCAAATAAAATAAAGTAATAATAATCACTTTAATATAACATCTGAAATACTAAAAAAATAATAACTAGCTAGAAGCCGCCAAGGTCGTTCCCGTTAACTCATTTCGGCACGCGTTCCACTCTCTCATCATCTTCCTAGGCCTTGGCCTTACCTTTAGTATCTGTACATGCGAAGAAAGAAAACTGATAAGCTTTACGCTTAGTAAGTCACTATGGATCCACAAAAATATCTGAGAAGTCTATGCTAATTTATCAATAGATAAATTTAGGCTATAAGCATGCACTAAACAAATGACTAACAAATAGCTTCTCAAATAAATTCTGAGAGAGATACCAAAAGAAAATATTTTCTAAAATAATTTCTCAAAACTACTGGAGAGGTCTCAAAATTTCTCTCTCAAAATATCTCTGTAAAACTTTCTGAAAGAGATCTCAAAAACAACTTTCTATAAAACTTTCTGAAAGGGATCTCATAAACTTTCTGTAATACTCTTTGTGGCTAATTTTTAACTGTGGGCCCGTGATATGTACTCAAAGGCGCCAATCCGACAGTTCAGGGGAGCGACCCACTAAACATATCGGACTCTCTGAAACTGATAAACTGATAATCTGAGGGAACTTGTTCCCGAGTACATATCACCTGATCTTTCACTTTAAATATTAGTTCTTTTTATAGTGACGTTTGGGTAAAAACATCATTAAAATCTTGAAAAAAAAACACTGACATGATCTTGACTATGCCAGAATGATAAACATAACTAAATATGACAAATAAATAACTCATCAAATAATTCACCAAGTTCACATAATAGCAAATAGTCTAAAAATCATCTATTAAAAATCAACGAGACTTCTTTCTTTCATTTGGTTGAACAAACATGTACAGGTGGTAGTGAACTTACCTGTTAAAAGCTGAACTCAAATTACTCAAATAAGTGTGGCACCTTGATAACGTCTTCCGATAAGCTCTTCTCTTAAATCATCTTTAATTAAATGTAATAATCAATACAAATCTTTATTTCCCATATAAAGCTAATTGGCTGGAAAAATTTGCTACGCCTGTGCAACTACTACAATTAAAAGTGGAAAGGATGTGGTAGCTCAAACATGAGTTCGAGTCATAAAATTTTAGGATAATAGAATCTACAAATTCTGTACTGGACATAAAAACGAAGATTTTACAAATTAAAGATATGCAGGTGACACCTAATCCAATTTAGGCATTAATTTGGTAAGTGGATAAACAAAATTTGCTTGGTAAAAACCCAAATCTGCCAAAACTAACTGAGTTCATTCTGCTGCATAATTTTACTTGAATTTATAAAAAGAATCCCAACTGAAGCTATATTCACGATAACCCAATGAACTACTCAAGTTTGACTTTAAAGGTATGCTTTCCAGAACAAATATGATTCTAAAACTGTACGTGAATTCCTTTTAAACTTAAAAGGATTGCAGCAGCCAATTTGATGTTATGCTTAAGTAGAAAAAAAAAACTAGATCAATTTTTATTAAAAGTCATATGCTCTACGGAAAACAAACAATAGAGAAGTTGTCTGCCCAACGGTCATTATAAATCAAACCAAGGAAAGATTTCAGTATTGACTTACAAGTTTGAAACGTTGATTGAAAGAAAGATTGAGGGAGATGAAACGTATGCGCAGGGAGGCCGAACAAGTGATGCACGTTTTTTTTAAGCTGATATGTATATCTTTCTAGGGTTTTAGTCAAAAACTAATTTATTTGGGCTCAAATAGCTGATTCGGGACACTTAAGCTTCTAAAAGACTAATTCTAATCCAAC